AATTTATGTTCTATTGATTTATAGATATCTACTTAGCTAATTATATTTTTTTTAATATTTTGTAGCCCCCCCTTTAGCCGCGATACAAGCCGTAATACGACGTGGCATACTCTTGATCAATTGTTTGCAGTATGCCGGATCGATCTCGTTCCAACATTTTAAAACACAATCTTCGAGCTCTATTAAATTATTAGGTTTGGTATCACGAACCCGAACTTTAATATAATGCCAGAGGTTTTCGATCGGGTTAAGATCTGGACTTCGAGAAGGCCAGTCCATAACCCGAATATTTTTATCAGCAAGAAACTTCTTCGTAATTTTCGCGGCGTGTGGCCTTGCATTATCGTGTTGAAACCAAGGGCGGCCACTATGATCCCAATTGGTTCCATCGAAATTTCAAAGGGCTGGCAAAAGATGATCTTGGAGAGTTGTAATATATAACTTCGCTATAAGGGAAAAAAGGTTAGTCGAAATTTTTTTTTTTTACAGTAAATCGAAAAAAAATTTTTTTTTTTTTAAAAAAACTAATTTTTTTTTTTATTTAATAAACATTTTATCTTACCTTTAACCAAGGTGCGAAGAGGAACAAGGGGGCCAACATCGAACCATGAAAAACACCTCCAATGCATATGGCTTGGGCTATGGTTAATAGTGACAGAAAGGCATTCAGCATTCCACTCTTCGCGTGGACTACGCCAAACATGACATTTACTCCCTTGCTGGAATTGAGTAAACATAGACTCGTCACTCCAGACTACTTTTTTAAAGTCCCGAACGGTCCAGTCTTTATGTGCAAAGCACCAGGTAAGTCGGTCTTCAATATTTTTTTCCATAAGGAAGGGCTTGGGGCAGGCGATACAGCTTCTTAACTGTTTTTCATGCAGGGTTTGACGGATAGTTTTTTCGGATACTTGGATTCCTGTTTTGACTATAAAAAGATTGGTTAGTTTTGCGGCAGTAATACGTCTGTTACCCTTTTTGCCAGTAACAAGTTTTTTTAGGGTGGTACAAACACGCTTATTGAGGAGTCGTGGTCGTCCCAATTGTCGCGTTCGCGATTCTGTGGATCCAGTTTCAATAAAACGCTTTATAACGTTACCTACCACACTTTTTTTGCATCCGACATTGGCTGCGATATTACGATAGGTATTTTTTTTTTGTAACCATAAATAATGGTCGCTTTTTGTTCAGAAGTTATTTTTTATTAGCAGGCATTAGCGGTTACGCAAAAATTGAAGAGAAATTTTCAAGTAAATAAAAAAAAAAAATTTTTTTATGTAATGATACATTTTAAAAAATTGAATACGTTGCATATATGTATTGAGTATATTTTTTATTAATAAAGTTAAATTAGTTTTTAAATTAAATTTTATTTAAAAAAAAAAAAAAAGTTGTCCATAAACTTTTGTCCATCCTCTGTAATTATAGATTTATAAATTAAATTAAAAATTAAAATTAATCCAAGAATTTTTTTTTATAAAATTTAAAAATATATAATAAATTTCTTTAATTTAATTATTAATATTTTATTGCTACTTTATTTATTTATAGTATATGATTATATAAAATATAAAATAATTTTAAAATAATTTTTTTGAATAACACAGTGTGTTTTTATCAAGAAAATATGTTATACCGACCTACAGTGTGTATATACAGTACGATACGTATATTTGTTTTGCCTGTTTAGATGTTAAACGTGTACTGATAAGATTTTTTAAAAACATGTTGATAACCTCGCCTGATAAAGTTCAACAGCATTTGATAATTAAGTAAGCATTCAAGGAGAGCAAATCTTCTTCCTTGCGCTTGTCTCCATCGGTGGAAAAAAAGTTGTGACAGTTTCACGTGCACAAATTTGCGCATATACGGAGTGAACCAAACCAGGAAATTGGATCATGCCGTTTTTAAATTTTACCGTCGAATAAAATTTAAATCAGATGATGGATTATCGATTTTTAAAGTGATTTTCTATTTATTCTAGAATCGAGCTACTATTATAATTAAAATATCAAGTGTTTGTAGGAGCGTGCAAACAAAACCTTATCAATAAATGACCTCGGATTGCTTGCATCACACGCGCCTCGATCTTGTCGCTGGCGTGTTCGTAGCACATTTCTTTATTGACTTTATGCTTTAAACCTTTCAACCTTGGAGAGTATGCCGTACGTGCGCAACATATTTATTTTTTGGACCCATTTATTAGGGCGTCTGTGAGAAATGGCTTTGAGCATATCGTAAAGAATGCTTGCTATGGTGCATAGTAAATTTCCTCACTTTTCATACAATCTTCTTTATTCATACCATAACTCGTAGGAATTGAGGATGCACTTTCACGAGATTAAAAAAAAAAAAAAATGCAAGCCGTAATATACACAAATAAAGTAAATCATACATGCCCCCTGATTTTCTTTGTCAACTAAATCAATCTCACGAATCTCCTTTCTGAATTCCCATCTTGAATGTGGACATGTGGCTTTCGCGATTTTGCGTGGGATTATTTTTCACACGAATTTTTCGCGTTTTCCTTATACAGAACGAATGCTTTGGTTTCTTGCCCGCTGCGTTACCGGTTGATGACCCGATAAAATATTAAAGCGGAACGAACGGGATGGGTAGAAATGAATGGCGAAAGGATAATCCACCTGGTGCAAAGAAGAAAGAAATGGATGCATACATGTGATTAATTTATGGAGATGTCCCGTCATCTCTCATTGTGCCTTCAGTGGTATCTACAAAGTCACCGTGTCACCATTTCGTCGATCGGTGAGAAACACCTGTGACCTATCCTCTTTCCACGATGTGAGTGATATGCGTGATTATTTATCCTCCCGGTGGGATGTTGCTTTACCTGCGGAGGCGATTATCATTTACTCCTTGTTAATGAATTGTTTTCATATACTGTAATTTCTATTTAAAAGGAACACACACCTCTTTTGTTGTAATCGCCCATTGGAATTTGTTTATAACATAACAATCAACCGAATTTAATGCAAGCGAGGTACATTATTAACATATTTGGACGCTTTATTATACGCACAATCCAACACACATCAAGACTCGGTCCCTCGATTGTCACATGGTTTGGTTCCGCGATCGCATTTAAATGTGTCACAAACCAATATTTTCATTCATTTAAAATTAATAAATAATAATAACAGATGACGTAAAAAAAATAAATAACCGGTTTGATGGCTAACAGGGAACGTGTATACATGAAAAATTCGGTGACCACCATTTCATTTCACCTTTGGCAGCATTAAACTTTACATAATCTCGAATATATACAACTTATTTTTACGTCACTCGCCTGTTGGATCGCCAAATAAGGAAAGCCCATATAATTAAATAAGATTTCCAAAAATTTGAATTCACAGCCTGCTCACATACCAAGGCCAGGGACTAGAGACGTACCGTTACGGCATGCATTGCCACAGGTTTCGGGGACCAGAATCGTGCACTCGGATCAAGAAATCGTTGTACCACCGAGATCCTCATCTTCACCGTGAGTCATAAATGTAAATTTTGAATGATGTCATCGGTACCTTCTCCTTGGGGAAAAAAAAGAGGAGATTAACCGAAAAAAAAAGTTTCGAGATCGCATCCCAAATCATAAGGTGTGTAATGAATGTGGCGGAGATTTCTACCGATTTACACGGTCACTACGTCAAGTTGCGATCACAGTGCACAGCAGCCACAGTCCATGGAGTCTAATTATCCTTATGATTGACACAATCACGATCGTGGATGCAACACCGGAGTAAGCATTCAAGGTAAATGTGCAATTCGGTTGGCATCTTCCGTCGTGTAACGCAAGTGATCATCGGTGACAGTGACAAAGCGCATCAATCGGTAAGTAGTCACACACACGTGATATTATGTAATATATTGTTTACTCGATAGTTGTTGTGCGCAGAGTGGATTAACAATTTTACACCCATAAACCGAAATTCATTTTTACACAGTTCCGAAAGTTGATTGGATGGTTTATGTGCACAATTGTTTTCATTCCAAACTCCGAGTTAGAAGCTCAGTTCATGATTCTTGCATGTTATCTCGTTCATCATCAACAACGTGAAGTTGATCCGCAGCCGCATTCGCATTCGCATTCTGGGAGATGCCTGAACATCCAATCGTGAGGTGAAGATTGTTGGAATTGCGGAAGATTGCTGAGCGTACTTCAATCGGAATTGAGGAAATCGGTTTGCAGAGAAACGTTTCGAGTCCGATAATCTCGCGCACTCGCGTAGTTTGAAGATTGATTGATTGATTGATTATGCACTTTTCGAGGTTGACAAGTTTAAGTTGACAAGGAGAGATAAGAATTCGGTTGATTGACGAGATCTCTGCGAAGACGCTAATGAAATTCAATGTCGCACCGCCTGAAATATTTCGGAGCCTAGTACATCATTGTTGATGGGAAGGCGCATGTATTTTTTATAGAAATTTCGGAAATTGGTTTTGTGATAAGGTTGATTGTGTGTGTCTATAATTGCAATTGCTCGCTTGTCGTTCATCCATCTCGTACGTATCTTTTTTTTAAAAAAAAATTAAATAACGTTGGGCGTGGATGAGATCGCTGATTACATTGCGAAACAATAAAACGCTGATGACACAAGAATGCAGAGGTGCATGATACCAAGGCATATTTGTCGTGGTGCATAAACAAGTTGTGTGATCATTTCGGCCCACGTTCTCACACTAAAACTGAAGAG